AGGGGTTCATATTGTGAGCTGAGAATATTTATAAATTTGGGTTCACTATCCGAATAATGCCAGATGATGATGCTTCGTGGTTGTATACTAACGGTATTATTTGCATGAATTACAGTAGCAACTTCACCTATTGAGGTATTTTCTTGCAGTTCCAGAAATGCAGTACTGGAAAAATTGTCTCTGAGTAATTGTAATGAATATACATAAGGGTTTATTAGTGTTAGCATATTTTGTACTGATGATACCCATTCATACAGAATTTCGCGATTGCGAGCTGAGTAATATCTCTCTTGTTCATCATAAAGATACCAATGTATTGAATGATTGGGAATGTTTGCTGGTAAAATACAATGGTAAGTTTGACCAGAAATGCTAACTGAAGATGGTGCAGGAAGTTGTACAAACTGGCCTTGTATACCGATCGCAGTGAATGAAAATAGTGCATTGAGTTTTCGCGAAGATGCACTAATATTTGGGTCATTAAGAACATCATTGATTTCTATAGGATAAACGGGTAGGGGTGGAATGACTCGCTTTCTATTATTGCAACAAAATTTAGATGATTCACCGGTAAGGAGCGTTACCGAACAATGAGGACAAATTCGATCCCATAAAAAATTTAGAGGCGTCTGCGAACTCTTATTCAAAGAGTATAATATATCCTACCAGAATAAGCCATACCGCAAAGGATGTTCAGTTTCAGCATGTTTTTTGGTTTTATATTTATCATTGTTTATCTCTTGTCTTTGTTCATTGTAATTTTTTCTCTTGTTAGGGTCTTGTGTTCGTGCACGATATTGACGTTTATATTCTGTATTTCATCGTCTTTGCCTGGTGCGAGCATTTTCTCGATCTTTCTTTGTTAACATTTTCTTTCTTTTTTTTTTTTTTTATGATTGGTTGTTATGTATGTGGATTTTTGAATATATTCAAGATTTTGCAAAAGCATCCAGATATTAAATTTTGGTTTGGCTTTAATATTTATAGTTTTTTTATTTTTTTTTATCAACGTTCAGTTATTATTTACGTTATACGATTTTTATTAATAAGATTTATTTATTTAGTTAAGTTAAATATATACATCTTCGCTTTTAAATTTAAATAAATAAATAAATAAATTAAATAAATAAATAAATTGAATAAATTATTTTAACTCTTATTTCTTAATTTTCACTATGTATATTTTAAATATGATTCCATTTAACAATTTAATCCATATGCGAGAGCTATACAATACTTGTAATACCTGCATATACATAGCATACATAAAGGTCAATATATACAGAAATAACATCATCAGTTTGTAAACGCTTAAAAGAAAAGTTTGAATTTTTTAGTTTGATAAAGAAAAAAGAAAATCTTATATATTATAATTATTTCAGATCATTTAGCCGTTTCATAATTTAAAGTTTGAAAATCGTCACTCATACATTTATATTCTTTAAAATACATCATATCAATTGCTCACAAATTTTAGTAGGTTTATTAATTTCTTCTCGTATTTTATTATTGTAGTATTATTAAATTGATCAATGATATAATCATTGTTATAATTATCGAATTAATCAGATTTTGATATAAAAATATTTAGCAAAACCAACCAGAATTGTGAAGAAAAATTAGTTAACAATTTTAGCTAAAAAGTTTGGTCGATAAAAACAAAAAAAGCACATCATAATTACATCAAATTACTTATGCTTATTTCATAATATAAAGTTATATAAACCGCTATTTATAAATTCACGTTTTTCATATACTACAAATATGAATTAATTTTATCATAAAATATTCCTATAGTCTGTAATTTCCTAATATATGTTAATTTCCATTTAAAGTTTAGTACTGTATTACGATTTACCGATCGCATTTGTCATACTTACGACACAATTCTAAAATGATAAAAACAAATTCCTTTTAGTAAACGATTAACTGATTACACTTGTCATATTTATATATATATATACACATCTTATATTTATATCAATTCACATGCCATATCATCTTTATTCTCATTCATGTTCAATTCACATGAACAGAAAATTCACATGAACGGAATGATTGGTAAAAATGTACAAGACACACGTGACAGGCGATAATTTTATTATATTATGATATGTAGGCTTAATGAAACATCAAAAGACAACTATAGCTTAACTACTGCAAAAAGAAAAACATAGATATAATAAGCATAACAGAAACTAAGCTCACAGAATCAAGATATACAAATTTACAACTATATAACGAGACATACTACTTTTACACATTAAACACCACAGCAACAACAGCCAAAAAACAAGAATCAAGTATAGGAGTTGTAATAGCACTATATAAGAAATTACAACCATATATACATAATATACAAACCTATTCAGGAATGGCACTCAGCATTGATATATTCTTACTATACAAAAACCAATTTCATATTATAGCAACATACCTACCTTGCAACAACAAACAACTTAACAATTTAACCCAATTCAAAATAATAGAATGAGCAGAACAAGCAAATAAACAAAAGATCAAACTTATCATTCTGGGAGACTTTAATCTTGATCTCAACAAAAAACACATACACAACAATCTAATACAATACCTAAAAAATTTAAATATGCTACCATTAATCAACACCCTTCTATCGAACGAACCTACATGGAGCTCCCAACAAATCAGCAGCCAAATAGACAAGATATTTTGTTTAGATGACTCGCGATTTGCCTATTAATCGAAAACAAATCTACTAAGCCCTAGTATAAAAAACCTCAACAAAACATAGCACATACTAGCAAACTGCATTAAACAAAGTGCAAATAAACATATTCCATATACATGTAAAGCAACACAAAATAATAACCATCTATTCTCATTTACAGCCACCAAATTATATAAAACACTGATATATATAAATAAGGCATGAAGACACATAAGCTTACACAAACAAGCAACAAATATAGACCAAATACACAACTTTATACAACAAACTAACAACCTATCTAACACACAAATATAAATACAACCCAACACAACCATAGAAGAAATAGATACAATACTCAAAACAGCCCAACAACAAATCAAAATAGCAAGAAATATAGAAAACCAAACAGCAAAAAACATATATATAAAGAACTGTATTGAACACAGATACTAAAACTTCCAAAACAATACATCTAAAATGATAAAAATACTTAAAAAACACGCAGATCTCATAATACTACACAATATCCAAACACCTA